ATATCAAATCCACCGTTTTGTTTATTGTAGCTAAAGTTATGTTACGGTACTGGTTAATTTATTGGTTTCAGTGTTATGTCACATTGCTGTCCCAGTAAGTCATCAAATGCACCATTTTGTTTATTGTAGCTATATTTTTCTTATGGTCACTAAAATAGTCATCCAATTCATAATATATCACACCAAATATCACAATTTTTAGAGCTGCAGTGTGTGTTTGTGCCATGAAACAACTTTAAAGCCTACAATTTTGTGGCATAATCAGACAGACTGGAACCAGAAAGGTCTGTTCAAATCTGATGGAACTCCACACTGGAAATACTTGTATGTATTTGCTTGAACAGCACCCTCACTCACCTGAGTTGATCCTAGTAATTTGGCTCTCTGTTTTGAAGGCAAAAATTCTGACAGTGCTGTGAATCTGGAAATAGAATCAATAATTATTGATTCATTAAAATGTTTATGCCAGACTGGATATGTTATATATGTGCCAATGAACACTGCTCAAAAAAAACATGATGATTTCTTTGACAATTTCATTTCTAATATTGTTGTCGGTGAACATTGATTTTATAATTGTTAAAGAAATTAAGTTGTAAAAAAGAAAAAAGAAATGAAAAGTGTGCTTTTTTATGAAAATTTAATTATTTTTTTTTTTTTTCATTCAAGATGATCAAACATCGAAAACAAATCTATATCAAACATGAGCATGCACCCATGACTAAAACTAATGGCTCCGTCTGGCCGCTCCAATGCACTAAATATCAGTTCAGTTTCAAGCTCAGGTAGCAGGGAATTGGGAGCTTATAACTGATCATGGGATTTGTGTGCTACCTACTACACTATTGGTCATCAAACAAAAACTTGAGATTGACCCAGTGTACATATTATGAGGTTATTACGAGGATACCTCAAAGTATGAACGAAGACAGTACAGCTGGAATATCGACCGACGCACAGAGGAGGTCGATGCAACAGCGTTCTGTCTGAGTGCATACTTTGAGGTATCCTCATAATAACCTTATATTATACATCTTTTCCTTCCAAGGATACATCATGGAAATGTCGAAATCCAAAATGTTTAGAACAGAATCAGCAAACTTCTTTGTATGGAGTCTGGTCAAACTCTGGTGGCAGCCATGTTTGTTTTTATTATTAGAGGATGCTTACGCGCGTAATCAATCCATATTTGGAATTCGCATTTCCTAATATGGTAGGATAAAAATGCCCATAAAACACTGCAAAATTACAGCACACTGTAACTTTAATAGCGTTACGATGGCAGATGTATAATAATATAATATATGAAAACATTACTGGATGTGCTAATCCTGTGCGCGAGGTAACGTACACTATTGGCTGCCTCGTACTAACGTATTGTCACTAACAGTTTTGATTAGAACTTGATTTGAACAAACTATGATCTTGTGACTGACAGCCATTTGGAAGACACATTTGTTTGAAACATGTCTTCTCATCAGATGAGAATTACATCAAACGTCTTTGTCAAACTAAGAAATTAACATCAAAATTGTATTCAACAAACAATAATGAATTTATTTGACAGAAAAATACATTCTGATAATCGAAACTTCCAATTTTGCGAAGCACTTAACCAGATGCATCACCATTGAAGTGATTTGCATAAAGAAATCTGGTTGCATAATTCATTTTATACCAAAAGCGGTTGTTTGAAGGACAATGGTCATTGCGCAGTGAGTGATAGAAGCCCCATTGAACAAACAATGTACTGTAAAATACTTTATTTTAGCTGGAATTAATTTTCGCTGAAAGGACTCTTTTGGTGTTTCATATAGAATTATTTTTCACTGATTTTTGACGAGTTGAAATATGGGGAAAAAAGTATATTCGCTGGATTTTATTTTCACCGAATCATTCCTTCAGGATGTGGTGCAATGACCATCGGTCTTTCATTATAAACTTATTCTTACCCTTGTGGTGCTCCTCCTATCCCGAAGCCAACAAGAAAACGAAGCAGTATTAACCAATAGTAGTTAGGACTGAAAGCTGTCAAGTAACCATAGTAACTTATCCAAACGGCAACAAGGAATAGAATCTGTTATTCAAAAAACAAATAATAATTTAGCATTCTAAAATAATGAGTTGTTATTAGAAGGACAATTGTCCTACTGGAGGTGTGATAAAGTCTCATTTTTTGGGGAAAGTTTTATTTAGAAGCAGCTATGTTTTGTTTTTCTGTTTTGAAATTATTGAGGTAAATATTAAATTAACCTTACAATAAATATATATTCCACAAATGAAGCAGTTACATTGACAAAGTTCAGGGAAAATATTACCAGTATATAAGTATGGTTTAATTTCATGAGATGCTGGTTCAAGTATAATAGCCATATGGTCAGTATTTTGTAAATGACATGAAACTGGACAAATTGTCTTCATCATTTTTAAAATACTAATTGTTTCTTTACAATTTTTTAATGTCACTAGGAGGTCACAACCTTTTTCTGCCAACTGTGCACCATCATACAAAATTTACAAATGCCAGAAAAAAATGACATAGTAATTGCTTGAAATTTGGCAAACCAAAGTTCATCAAAATAAAAAAAAAAAACGTGACACTAAAACAAACACAGACAACAAAAGACAGTATTTTTTGAAAAATTTACAAGTAGGGGAACTCCGTAGCAAAAAATACTACCATACTACTTTAAATTGATCTAATTTACAAATATAAAAAAGACAGGTATCACATGACATATAAGGGTCGAAAACATAAAAATACTAAACATTAAATTGAAATATGATATTTGCTGGTATGCCATATAAGTGTTTAAATACACGATGATTCATGTTCACACTACAGAATATTAAATTTGTTTCCATATTTCTCTCTTCACTTAATAGCATATGCTACAATCCCCTACATTTTACACTACAATCACCTGTAAGATACTGTAAAATACTTTATTTTCGTTTGAAATTAATTTTCACTATTTTTGTTGAAGGAATGATTTCGTGAAAATAAAATCCAGCGAATATACCCTTTTTTTCCTATATTTTACATTCGTCAAAAATCAGTGAGAATAAATACCATACGAAACACCGAAAAAATCTTTTCAACGAAAATTAATTCCAGCTAAAATAAAGTATTATACAGTATTTGTTTATAGCAGTATTATAATAATTCTTTTTTTTTATTTTTTAAATAAATTATAGATCATGAACTGTTAAAATTGTCATGGTGAGAAATGTTCATGATTCCATGATTAAATTGTTTTTACACCGGCGAATTGCGCGAGAATTACTGATAATTAACATATACCGGTACTACAGCAAAACCAAAGCTAATATCCTGTAAAATACTGATATTAATTTTTATTGAAGAGACTTTTTGCGTGTTTTGTGTGGAATTTATTTTTGGCAAGTTGAATGTAAAATAAACGAAAAATAGTATATTCGTTGGATTTTATTTTCACTGAGTCACTCCTTCAGCGAAAATAGCGAAAATTAATTCCAAGCGAAAATCAAGTATTTTACAGTATTATAAACACAACAGTATGTGTCTGGTGATCTGACACAATAATTGTTATTTGTTTATGCAAAGACTACAATCATTGTTATGATTACTATACATCATGAGTATATCACCATATTGTGAAACCGTTCAGAATAGAAATTAACATACAACAATAATTCACCCTACATGCCTTGCATGTCATGAAGCATACGTCTTTGATTCAATATGGCACAATACGTGGGAGATTCATTGTTATTACGATATACCATCAATACTGTAAAATACTTTATTTTCGTTATTTTCACTGAAGGGATGATTTAGTGCAAATAAAATCCAGCGAATATACATTTTTTCCTATATTTTACATTCAATTCATCAAAAATCAGTGAAAATAAATTCCATACAAATTATTCAAAAAGTCTTTTCATTGCAAATTAATTCCAGCTAAAATACAGTACTTTTTACAGTATCTGAGGAGTGTTTTGTCTGCTTTTAATCTCACATACCTGATTTGCATACTGTAAAACCATTTATTTTCACTGACATTTAATTTCACTATTTTGATGTTTTGAGCATATTCACTGCGTTTCACGAATTTGTCAAGAAAACAATGAGTTTTATTGTCATTTTACATGTTTACGTAGCTTTAAATTTAGCAGATTTTACTTATTAGCAAAAATAGTGAAATTAAAACCCAGTGAATAATTAATGCATTTACAGTACATGGTAAAGCAGCCCTGGAGTTGGGTGCATGGCCAAGCCGTGGCGATTTTATCCTTATTTTTTTCTTTCAATTACAAATTCATTCTTCAAAAGAATTATCATATAAAATTATAAAATAACCAGGGCTAGTCTACCTCTGAACATATGTGTAGCATGGAGCATGAAGCAGTCCTGGAACATGGCCAGAACTCGTGATGCATTGTTGATCAATGCTGTCAAAAACACATGGAGTCTAGGGGGAAGTTACATGTATAAGTATGATTGGTTGAAAAATGAATCTTAAATGTATAAATTAAAAATTCATGAGCAATGATTGTTCGTTTGTTATTGTAACTACACTAAAAATAGCTCTTAGTAATATTGCTTAAAATGCTATAAACAGCCTGCCGAAAAATGATTTTGAAAATAACTAAAAAATATAGTTTGTTTATCATGGTGTTTTTATAGAATAGGGGTGAATAGTAATCTCTTGAATTTACAATGTTTGAGATTTGAAATTACATTACAATGTACATACTAAATACCAGAGTACTTTCTTGGTGAATAAACTTCACTATGACCTTAATAATTAAAAAAAAACCTACACTCAGATTGTCTAAACATGAAGAAAATGTCCCGAAAATCGAAATTTGCGGACGAGTGAACACAGGAATACAATGGTTCAACATAGCTATACATTTTGATGTGCATATGCAAACACAATATGACATTGTGGTAAATTACTATTGGATAATGATAATTATGGATTATGTATGTTTAGGTTAGGGGTAGGTATAAGGTACGGTGTGATGATTTGAGGCTACAACGTTTAGTTTAGTTATTAGCATAATGATATTGATACATTGTATGGAACATCTCGTGAGTATATATACTTGGGCTCAGTTGCAAGCCTATCAGTTGTTGCTCCTCTCCAGTGCGTTATTCTCCTCCTCGGATTTGGTGACCAATACTCACTTGGTTCACTCTACCTTGAGAAGTCTGTTCTCAGTTTACATACGACATGGAAATAATATTGTGTCAACATTCACTGTTTCATAAATTCCCTAACCCTAATATGCATCATAATATATTTAAATAAACAATCAAACAAAATAATTAAACAATATTGTTGTCAGATGTTTCAGCCTTATTGTCGCAATTATTCATTAATGACTGATAACAAACACAGTTTGATAATGTTATTTTATTGATAAATACTGGTAGTTGATATTGTACCATATTTGCGTCCAATGTTAAGTTTATTCATCAAGAAAGTATTTGGTATCTACTGAATTTGTCGCTAAGATCGTATTTTCAAGAGATTACCGTACTATTGCACCCCTCTTCTACACCGTCGGTTTATCATTAGTTAGGGCCAACCATCTACTTGGGTATGTTAATCAGTAATGTCACCCGATATCCAAATATGGTCAATTGTAACAATGTTAATGACTATGAAGATGTAGCTGGGAATGGGGATAATTCTCAGGTAAAATTTCATTCTAAACCAAACAAATTACCTATTTTCCTTTAGTTCTTCATATGAAGAAATTAATTCTGTCTTTTACAAGTAAATCTGAAAAGTACCCTGAAATGAGCAATTCTAGTATCATTTAATAGTATTAATAAAAATACATCTCTCATCACATAGTATCCACTGATGAAACATCTGTTTCCATGGTTACCCGGTACATCAGAAACACTATGCTAATTTTAAACATAAATTTACTAGTTACAGGGAAAACAAGATTTTACAACTCAGAATACATGTATATAATTTCTTTTTTTTTGGGGGGGGAAAATTTACTGAAAAAAAAATCGACTGAGTATGTTGACATGTTATCTTTGCCTGACTGCACAATAGTGGTATAGCAGATTACAATGTGGCTTGTGTAATGTCTGTAATGAACAGGTGTTACTACCGGTAGTATCAAAACACACTGTGCTTTGTGCTATTCATGTACCTGTTAATCCTAATCCAGCCATCCCCCCTGTATTTTTTACATTGAATTGATCAGATAAAGGTTAGATCAGATTAGGAATTCTAGAGGGGCTAGATGCTGATTTAGGGGAGGGGAGGGGAGGGGGTGTCAGATGCTGACAATTTGAAATTCAGTGGGTGATACATTTGCGAAAACAATTGTACATGAAAAATAAATTCTAAATACTAATTAAAGGAAATCAATAATAAATAAATTTAATTATGTTTTTTATTTTACTATCTCATCTTTCCAATTTCTAATGGAATACCCCTAGACTATAGTTTTTTTAATATTCCCCAAAAACATTCTCAGGTCTATTTACATTCAATTTTAAAATTGACAGTTTATGCAAATAATGTATATACCAGCAGGTTGGGATTCAGGATACAATGGTATCCATAGAAACCAGCCAGTTGTACATTTCAGCAACTGAATTCATCTCATATTAATCATGCACTATCAGTATTCTGTTCCCATCAACGACTGATGACAAGTTGTAAACCAATAAAATTTCAACGTTATTTTTTTCATGTCACAACTGTATTGTTACTTTTTGTTTATTTGTAATACCAAATAGACATTTTCCATTGGCTGCTAGTCTTAATCAATATTTTTTGAAAACATTATGCAGTGTTTACTTCAAAATCTTAGCACGTCATTTTTTTTTAAACTTTCTATTACTCAGTAAATTATATTTTTTAGTAATGAAAGTTATATTTTCTACAATTTTTCAAAAATTGTTTTTATTACTGACAGATACCGGTAATAATTATTGGTAAAATACATTTTTCTGTTTTGTGCTAAAGTGACATCTGGTTTAGTTGGTCTGTCCAATCGAATAATCTCACAAATTATCAGCAAGTCATGACACAGTCCCTGTCAGGTTATAGTAAACAAAGCTGAAACCGGTAATTTTCCGTTCACTGTGAGATCGCGCATTATGCGTGAAATTAAACGTAAAAACAGGACAAACAAAGGTCATAGCGTGATAGTGGTGACAAACGTGGGATTCAACAAAAGCGAAAGTATTTTGGGGGAATATTTCCTTGCATAATAATGTGCTGTACACATTTGATGATAGGCAATTTTGATGAAGTGAGGGTAATGGAACGCAATATTACCCTGCCAAAGATCAGCCTTTTGATTTGAACTACAAAATAAAGAAATTCGAGTTCAAAATCAAATCATACGATTTTTGCGGCAGACATTCAACCAGCGTCTTTCACACAACTCACAAGATCTCGCAGTTGAACGAAAAATCACCTATTGACCATCTTGAATGGGATGACAAATCATATCGACATATGCATTCCACGATGCAAGATGTACAATGTATGTGTGAAGTTTGAAAGAGAATCACAACTGGCAAAGATACGGCTGTGTACACACAGACTGATCACAGATGGACAAAAGTGGCGAAAATTATATTTCTACATTTTGGGGACTAATAACATGACTGGAGACTTACTACTTTTCTTCCATATCTATCAGTGGATGTACCCCAAACTGAGGAACCAATTAACATACCAGCAAACACAACCTGCAAGAGATAAGAAATAACCAGTTAACATACCAACAAACAAAAACCCAGAAGAAATAAGAAATCATGTAAGGTGTCATTTTTGTAGAGCAAAATGTAAGATTTTGTTGACATTGATTAAAGTTTAGAAAAGAATCGCCTGTTTTATGTATTTTATTTCAAACTGTAAGCCTCTTGTAAATAATTATAATTTCAAAACTGTGATTGTAATATGCTGCTGGGCAGGAACATTTTCATGTTATATACACAAGCATGCAGCAAGAAACAGGAATTGAGCACACTCTAGTGGCCATTTTCTAAGTTAGCCATAAAAAGATACAGGATCAGCAAACAAAATCTAGGCAAAGTTTGGGTTACCGAAAAAACATATTTTTTTGAGTTGTTCTAAAGTTGGGTTTTATTTACTGCCAGTTTACCTCCGGGAATAAAAAAATAATAACAAATCAAGCACCAAATCACCAAATCAAGCACCATTTTGTTTTAATGAATGCAGTTCCAGAGCAATATCTCTGACATGCTTTAATCAAGTTAAAACTTTATATACCGGTATATGTCGTACATCATGTCACAAGTATTCGATTAATGATCAGTTTCAAGATGGCCGAATGGCGGACATATTTTTTAATGTTGAAATTCATTAAAATCAAGCAATTCTTCCATTTTGAGGCTGGATCTTGGATCAAGTACAATTTGTTTCCATATATTCATGTATATGGACATTACAGGACTTTATTTTGTCATTCAGATTGAATTCAAAATGACTGAGTTTAAAAATACATCAAGAAAAAAACATAGAAAATATTGGGGAAAAAACATTATGGCATTGGAAGGGTAGCATAATAGCCAATTTTCCTTCCTACTTAAATGTACCATTGTGTACATAAAAACAAATAAAAGAATAATAAATATTCAATACACATATGGTATTGTCACATAGATAATAGATATATTAATATTAATGTTTTTGACAATTGTTCACCATTTACTGTGAAATAGTTATTTACACAAGTATTAAAAATGTGTGGGTCACCAAAAAAGAAATCACAATTGGTAGTGGTGAAAAATTATTTTATTAATAATAGTTTAATCTTATGATTAATTATTAATAAAGCTTATTTAATAAATAAATCACTTCTTATGCTTTAGTTGCATTTCTTTTTTGCAATTCATGTAAATTTTAAATCCATTCCAAAATAAAATAGATGATTTTTTTTTTTTTAATTTGAATTTAAAATTTTTTTTTGAAAGGCATGCAACATTTTTTCTTGGTTACTAAAGCAATTTGATCAAAGTCTGGGTTTTAAATTCACGAATTCTTTGTGGTCTTTTGTATGGAATTTATTTTCACTGTTTTTTGTTGAGTGGAGTGGAGTTGACTTATAATTTGGTCTGCGTCCGCCTGTTTGTCATATTTCAAACCAAATGGACCAAATCCCTTCTTTGCATGTGCCAAGTACCGGTATTTTATCTGGGACATATGCACATCCAAATGGCTGACTGGCAGCCATTTTGTTTTTTGAAAATGTAGTATCTTATGCATGCTTTGTCAGTTTTTGTTTTTTGTACATCTGTTAGAATACATGTATGCAGTGTTTTCATTGAACCATTCCTCAGTGAAAATAGCAAAAATGAATTCTCAGCAAAAATAAGGTATTTTATAGAATATTGTAAATTTAATTTTATGGGATTTTTCATTTATCAGTGACAGTAGCAAAATAAAAACTTGTTGAGTAAATAATGGGATTGCATAGTACTACATGCAGTGTATGGGTTATATATTGGATAGGGAAGGGGAAGGGTAAACACATTGAAAGAAAAAACAAGCAGCCTATCGACTGAGATAGCTCCGCTGTTAGCAATGCACATTTCAATTAAAGAACTGAAGACATCATTAGAAAATGAACAATATGTATAGTATCAAAGCAATCGGACTTACAGTTTTTAACAAGAAGTTGAAAATATCACTTTCTACTAAAAATGACAAAACTATTCACCAAAATTAGAGAATTTAAGATATCACGAAATGAACAAATCTGAAAAAGGTCTACATGTAGTACCTATATATGTAATATCAAAGCAATTGAGCTTTTGGTTTTTAACAAGAAGTCGAAAATATCACTTTTTACCAAAAATGACAAAAATATTCACCAAAATTAGAAAATTGAAGATATCACCACAAAATGAACAAATCTGAGAGAGGTCCACATGTAGTACCTATATATGTAATATCAAAGCAATCGGACTTACAGTTTTTAACAAGAAGTCGAAAATATCACTTTTTACCAAAAATTACAAAAATATTCACCAAAATTAGAAAATTGAAGATATCACCACAAAATGAACAAATCTGAGAGAGGTCCACATGTAGTACCTATATATGTAATATCAAAGCAATCGGACTTACAGTTTTTAACAAGAAGTCGAAAATATCACTTTTTACCAAAAATTACAAAAATATTCACCAAAATTAGAGAATTAAAGATATCATCACAAAATAAACAAACCTGAGAGAGGTCCACATGTAGTACCAATATATATAATATCAAAGCAATTAGACTTGCGGTTTTTAACAAAAAGTCGAAAATATCACTTTTTACCAAAAATGACAAAAATATTCACCAAAATTAGAGAGTTGAAGATATCATCATGAAATGAACAAATCTGAGAGAGGTCTACCCAAGGTACATACATATACACGAAGTATCAAAGCATTCAGGCTTGTAGTTTTCAAGAAGAAGTCGAAAAAGTAAAACATTGACACGGACGACGACGACAGACGACACCGGACAATCACTCATATGATAAGCTCCGCTCGACAAAGTCGACAGCGGAGCTAAAAATGATACAAGAAAGAAATATTTGTTGAACTTACAGTGGTAATAGAAGCAACTTGATATGGCGACAACTGCCACTCGCATCTAACGACTGGGGACAGCACAGCCAATAACATCATCTCACAGGCATCAGAAAACTGCGGAAGAAATTAAAAACAAGAATTCTAAGAATTATTATATTTTGCTTTATGAGCTTTAATTAAAAAAAAATGTTTTGCCGATTGTCAATCAAATAAAAAAATGTTTTGCCGATTGTCAATCAAATAAACCAAAGAGGCTGATTTAACAAGTCATGACCGACACATCGACACATTTCTCGTCTGTTTTTAATGCCACTTCATATAAAAGAGTATAAGTACATATGTACTATAATAAACTTCAGGAACAGCCTTTATAAACAAAAATGGCCACCAATCGACCATTTTAAATGCACTATGGCACTGGTATATTCAATGTATGTACCATATTGAAAAAATGTATCTACACGACTAGATCTGGTTTTGAAACAACAAAAATGCTTGATTTTGATGATTTTTTAGCTTTTAATTAATTTTGACACCATTTGGCCATCTTGAATTGGATCACGAAATAACTACATATGTATCCCAAGTTGTATGATGTGAAGTTTGAACATGATTGGTCCATGAATGTTCAAGATACAGTTGTAAATCGACACACAGACACACAGAGATCAAAAATAAAAGTATCCATTTTGGGATAATATATACACAAATTGGAAAATATGTGTAGAGTTTCCATTTTAATATACTGAGGGCCTTAGTGACAATCAAATATTTATAAAATAATCACAAAATAATGATTCTCAGACACATTAACTGCTAAAAAATTTCACAATTTCTGTTGACGCAAGAAATTTGTGACACAAAATAAAAGTGTAGCACCCGGTATGTACGATCAATCTTTGATTGTTGAACTATATTGTGAGTGCCCCTTATGCCAATAAAATATTTTCAAACTGTAACTTAAAGTGTTTGTGTCATAAATATAGCTAAAGTGATCATTGTAAATTTGCAATACATCTTTCTCTTGCAAGTAACACCTTCTTGTGACAGAACACTTCTATAAAACAAGCAACCTATCGGCTGAGATAGCTCCGCTGTTAGCAATGCACATTTCAATTAAAGAACTGAAGACATCTTTAGAAAATGAACAATATGTATAGTATCAAAGCAATCGGACTTACAGTCTTTAACAAGAAGTCGAAAATATCACTTTCTACCAAAAATGACAAAAATATTTACCAAAATTAGAGAATTGAAGATATCATCACGAAATGAACAAATCTGAAAAAGGTCTACATGTCTACTCAACCCTAACACTTAAAATTCAGACCAATCAGAGAGCAGTTTTCCACTTTCAAAATGGAGTCAATACAAAGCTACTTACAAGATTGTAACCTGATTGGTTACTCAACCCTAACACTTAAAATTCAGTCCAATCAGAGAACAGCTTTCAATTTTCAAACTCTGTTTTGTGTATATGCTTTGACCAAACTGGGAAAATGTGTTGTGTGTGGCTGAGATGAAAGACACTACGAAAAAAAGTCATCCAACTTTTTATAAGATTTGACAAGTCAAAAACACTTTGCAAAACAAATTTAGAACAGTGTATAGAAAAGTGCATATTGTTAGATGAGCAAAATATTCTAATACCTGTAAATGAAATTGATTGATTGATTGATTGATTGATTGATTGTGGAAATAAAGGTGCAATACTGTAAATTATTCTATTTGTACTTGGAATTCATTTTTGCTGTTTACACTAAAGAAATGAATCAGTGAAAATAAAATTCAGTAAAAATACCTCTTTTTCCTATATTTTGCCTTTAAATAACTCATAAAAAATCTGTGAAAATAAATTCCAGCTAAAATAAAGTATTTTACAGTAGCACAAAGTAAAGTACTTACAGTGAATGTCCCAAGCAAGAATGTTAATGAAATCTGAAACTTTCCAAATCCCATGTGTTCCACCGCTTCCTCCACTGTGTATGTTTGTTGACCTGATCCATCTGGTCTCTTTCTCTGAATGGTCTGGTTCGTACTCGGATGTAAAATGTCCAGTTCTTCTTCATCGTTACTACCTAACATTAAAAAAAATAAAAATTATTTTTAAGCAGCAATCGCTGTGATTTTGAACATTTTTTGTTTGTTTAATATATGCACATAAAGATGACTAAATCTTTCGGAAATATTGTTTTTAGATACACGTGACCTTATACAAGACTAATATTACATGAAATTCAATGCAAGAACTGGGAGTTGAGTAATCGCAATTTCGTTGAAATTATATAGTCACTCGATGGAACCTATAGAAAATTGTGATATACGAGACACACACTATGAAAAATAATGAACATAAAGACACTGAGAAGCCAACAGCCCCTCAAGATATCAATAGCGGCGTATTTGACATCTCGCCCAAGGCCCTTAAAAAATGTGTCATCTTGTAAAGTTATTGTTGCTTTACCAAATCGAACCAAATATTACAGCCAATGATAAGTGGAAAAAATTGTCACACAGTCCTGTCCTGTCCAAAATTTGTCATATGGCAAAATGTGTAATCTGTATCACTGTCCAAAATTTATCGGTACTACTAAAAATATTTTGTTTTATCTTGTATTACCACATTTGCTCTTTTGGAAAAGAAACATAAGTTATATTTCAATGGCAGAGGATACAATAAATGTATTTTTTTGTTATGTACTTTTCTATTTGATATGCGCTTCTAATAGAACAAATACCGATAGTACAACAAATCGCTTCGTATCATAACACAAATCCAGGCAAAAAAAAAAAATCCATGTTTATTTTACCAAAATAACCAACTTATCAGTAATACACACAATAACAAGAAATTAAAATATAATGTACTGTCCATTATTGAAATAGTACTTTTTCATTGGTCGATCAGTATGATGCAGCCTTTATATTAGGCAAGAAATAGGCAGTTCTTGGAGATTATACAAAAAAAAAAATATCCAATATTTTCTGTACAAATCATTGGCAACAAAATCCATCACAAATTTTGATGTTAATAAATCCAAGATATTTTCTTCTAGAAATTTATTTTATAAGCATTTTTTCGCATTTTGTTCGGTTGTCAACATTCTATGCATAATTATTAATATTTCAACAATTATTATTCACAATAATGAATCCCCCACATCCATATTGGATGAAAAGAAGAGTCTACGGGAAGATAAAGTGAGGCAAGATAAACACATTATCACATCAGAACCCTACTCAGAATCCAATATGGCACTGCATGGGATTTGTTATTGTTGTTATAAATCACCACATCAAACAAAAATTAGTTAAGTTTGGGTTTTATTTTTATTAAAATGAATTTTCTTTCAAATATAGGTCAACATTATCATTTGATAATATAAAGCAAATCTCTAATTCTGATAGTGGTGATTCATAACTGACAATAATAATGGACGGGGCATATTGTTTGTTACTTCCCAATAATTAAGTGTCTTTGACGCTGCACCCCCCTACTCTCTTCCACATTAAATTATACCACTTTCTGTTTAGAGAAAAAAATTTGTTATCCCTTACAAACACACATACATACGTGCACATGTACGTACAAATACATATAAATCTATACTAAAAAATAGCAGAATATATTCCTGTAAGAAAATACCACCAAGTCCACTTCAGTACATAAACTGTATGGATCAGTCTAACAACAACAAAAACAACAACAACAACAACAACAACAACAACAACAACTGTCACCCATTCTATAGAACCATGCTACCACTTAGCAGGTCACCAAGTAAGTACTACTCATACAGACTATAGTTCATACCATCAGTGTCATCGATGAGCGAGGTTTGAGACTTCGACCTCTCTGGTTTCTTCGAAAATACATTCGTAAACTTATTTCCCAGAAACTGAAACGACGACGATGAACTTGCTGCTTGTCTTTTCATTGTGGTCAAATGACGACATGTCACTGTGCAGTTTTGTAAACACAGTTGGTATATACCAGCCTAAATAAACATCTTCCATTTTTAGATTGTGGATGCTAAAACGATATTAATCTGTCGTTAAAATTCTGCATTTCCCAACACAGGGTTGAATGAAATTTAGCAACCATTTTTTTTTTAAATTAAGTAACTTATTTCGAATAAATGTGACAAACTTGAATGCGAGTTGTGCATTTTTATCAGCAGTTTTCAGTTATTTATTTATTTTATTGTACACCAAGAACTATTTGTTGAAAAATCAAATTGTGGGTAGATGTAGTGTAAGGTATTGTATTTGCTGAAGGTTATTATTATATTTGACAATAGTGGTGAAATGATTAATTGACTGATCATGTTTTCCCTGGTCTGGTAGGCAAGTGAATGAGCAATTTAAAGGTAGTGACATGACATGTTATGATGTGGGGGGGGGGAGGGGGAAGAGGGGTTGCAATCTAATGTGGTATGAGGCTGCTCAATCTGATTAAAATTTGATCCTGGTTGGCTTAATTTTTTTTAAATTATATTTTAATGTACGTCATACACCGATCAACCAATCATGAGCAAAACGGATCACCAATAAACAGGATACCAATAAACAGGAAGTACCTGTACCGGTAGTAGTAGTTTGAGTGACAAGTCTCAACAAGTGATCTACAATTTTTCCTCCAATGCTCGTACCATTTTTTACAAGTACCAATGTCTTCTTTGCGTTACTTTGCATAACATTCGTTTATAAAACAAGGTACACACCATGTTAAATTATTCCAAAAAATAATTTGGTTATCTGGGTTCAAAGTCGCGTGTTTGCTGTGAAATCCATATTTAAACTCAGTCAGATGACGGCGAAATAATCTTACCGTCAATAAAAAAAAACGAATATACCCTCGCAATACTGCAGCTACTGATGTGTTATTAACAACCAACTCCACTGGTGACACTGATTTTGATTTTGAACAACGTTTGTACCAACGAAAAAAAAGTTTTCAGTATATATATGAAAAAAATTAGTTTGTTTCTGTATTCATAAAGATTTTTCAAAACCAGCAACTAAAAATTACGTACAACTTTACACTAAAATAATGAAGATTTGGTTATTTGGCACTCGACCGTCAGCTATCAATACCATGAATAATGTTCGCGAACGCGAAGTCTGGTACGCAGTGTGTCCGAAAATGGAATGTGCTGTGTCATACCCAGTCTATTTATTAATTCTTTAGCAGAATTTCTCATTAACAGTAGAAAACAAACGTGTATGTAATCGTAAAGTTGAAACTCGCACAATTCATCGGTGACGGCGCTGTTAAATATTTTTATTTCATGTACTCTCATGTACGCACGCTATTGATAACTTACAGCTTTCTCAATTTATCCAGTAGTGTCAAATCGGTAAACAAAATTAAATGAAGATATATTAATGGCGCAGTATCTAGTTTGTGCATATGTTATAATATGCATATTATTCTATTACCCGGTAATTATCATTTTACTAATAGCTAATTAACCGTGGAACCCAATGGCATGTAACTAGTACACCTACATTACATTTACATTATTCCACAAATCTGTCAAAGCAGAATGTATCACTGATCCAACACTTTTGTCTAATTCACTTGGTCCAAATCTGTTGAAGTTCTCAACTACCGATGGTATAAATTTGTGTGATTATATATGGTGGGGGTTAAAACAGTTGAGGAGAAACAACACTGAGTATTAAATAGGATATAAAAAGATTACAATCACAGTGCCATTTGATGCTACAATTTGTTTTGGGAAGTCTAATAAAATTTTGAATATTTCCATCACAAACTAGATTGTTACACTTCAAGTATGGGTACCATGGCAACTACATATATCACAGGACAGTCTTATGGGAAGGATTATTGTTTTACATAATCCATACATTATCGGTTTACCATTAAAATTATTTTATTTATCTTATTAGCTATGCAAATGTGTATGTACAAGTATAGTTATTATATTCTATTGTATGTAATATTAAGACTTGAGTTAAAAATAGAATGTTCTGAAAAAATAGTCAATAAACGGTAATAAAAAATACAAACCTTTTTTGGTTTAAATTTGTTATTATTATTATCATAATTATTCTTTATTTTAATGATATTTTTTGAGGTTACAATCAATTTCGCAAACAAAACCTTCAAAAACAATAGACTATGTTTTTCGTTTTGTGCAAGATCTCACATTATGCCTGAAACTGAATATCAAAAGGGTCATAGGTCGTTACGTCAACAAAACATATGGAACTTGACAAACCATAAAAGTACTTTTGGGGTATTTGATGATGTTCAATTTTGATGAAGTACGTGTATCTCAACGCTGTATAGTTTTGCATTTCAACATTTCACTGATTTATTTTAATGAAAAATCACTCATTCGGCTGTTCTGGCGGATCGAGGCATATGACCACTTATGCACATGCGATAGTCAGATACAACAGGAAGTACCAAAAGTGATAAGAATTCTCCAGAAATCGAATGGCATGACAAATATTTCAGTCCGAGGCAGTACTCAGTTTTTGAAACCTGGATATGTAGCTGTCAAGTGTACTGTAAAATGACACTGGGTTTAAATTTCGTTGATTTACCATTTCAGGCATATTCAGTGGGGTTCAAATTCACCGTTTTATCATTTAGATAATGTGTTCTATGCTAAATTTTACATATTCACTGGGTTTTTAATTTAGCGCATTTTCCAGTCAGCGAAATAAGCAAAATAAAAACCCAGTGAATAATTAACCTTTTTACAATATTTGCTTCATTATATACATGTAGTAAATACACACTATATATCGTTATTTCTGGCAACCTTAATATATGTATTAATGTATTACACTACCTGTAAATGTATCGTTCACATCGGCATATGTGTTATCATAATATAGATAAAATTTTTATTTTTATACCATACGGTATACTGTCAATTGTATGACGTACTCGGAACAAATTTGCACTTCTTGGCCAGCATTTTTTGCTTATTTTCATGTATTTTTCAAACAAGCAGCCTGTCAGCTGAGATAGCTCCGCTGTTAGCAATGCACATTTCAATTAAATAACTGAAGATATCATTGGAAAATGAGCAATTTGTATAGTATTAATAAAGCAATCAGACTTGCTGTTTTCAACAAGAAGTCGAAAATATCACTATTTACAAACAAGTCATTGAAAATGACACAGTCCCCATTAAATTTTTGAAAGTTCTCTTTGTGCACGTCATATTAAAGCGGAGGGGTTGTCGCAAGCGTGTCCTTAAAACTTGAGTTTTAAGTGGCGTATACAACAGATTGTTTATTTACATCAAAACATGTGTTCCGCGTAGTAGTAATATGGCCAAAAATAAAAACAGCCGTTATTCGGCCATCTTTGATCTGATTATGAAACACACTGATATGTATGATGTATGTGCCCAATACGAATGAAAATGGTACAATAAATAGTGGAAATATAGTAGTAAGGCCAAAAAGTCAGATGGCTGTCAATCGGCCATCCTTGACCAGATTTTTAAACAAATTGTCATGGACATGCATCCTAACATGTATAAAGTACATGTACGAACGGACAGACAGACTCAGGAACTCACGGACGGTCGGGGGCATGTATTCTAACATGTATAATCTATGTACCAAGTTTGAATGAAAACTGACAAAGCATGGCCAAAATACAACATTTTCAAAAAACAAGATGGCTGTCAGTCGGCCATTTCGAATCGAATCGCTAAACCACTGCATGTGCATATGTCTCACATAAAGAATGAACGGAATCGGTCCAAGGGGTTCTGAGATATGACTCCGCATGGACGCGCAGACGCACGGATGGACGGAGACTAAAAATGACAAAAATATTCATCAAAATTAGAGAATTGAAGATATCATCATGAAATGAACAAATCTAAGAGAGGTCTACCCAAGGTACATTCTATACACCAAGTATCAAAGCATTCAGGCTTGTAGTTTTAAAGAAGAAGTCGAAGTAAAACATTGACACGGACGACGGACGATATTGATAAATTTGCAAAAAGAAAAGATATGAAAAAAAAATATACTGTTAATGCATTAATTATTCACTGGGTTTTAATTTTGATATTTTGGCTGATAAGTAAAATCTGATAAATGTGAACATGTAAAATAACAATAAAACTCTTGACAAATACATGAAATTATAACACGGTGAATATTAAAGCGAGGGAGTCGTCACCTGCGCATGCGTCAGATGGCCATAGCATGTCATTGTTTACAAACAAGTGTCTACCCATGAGGCTTTGCGTTTTTTGCGTGTGTTGTAATCGTCGCACGGGACTCAATTTCCGCGCATGTGCAGGTTATGACTTTAAATGTCAGTGAAAATAAATGGTTTTGCAGTGTACAAGGTTTTATTTTGTAGAAGGGGAGAATTAAAATGAACCAGCGTTAAAAGAAATCAAACGAACAAATAACAGCTACAGTCTATCAGACAGTGTATAGCAATACCTACATGACAGACACGATTACCCAGGGTAATATCAATTAATACAATCAATTTATGGTACCAACCCCACAGTTCATCAAGTTATCAAAGAGGCGTTAGCGAACTATTGTCATCACAGCTGATAAACCACGTTTACATTGCTATATAGGTATTGTAGGACTAGCAGACAGTACAGTCTGAGCATAACTACTGTAAAATACTTTATTGGAATTGGCTTGGAATTAATTTTCGCTACTTTCGCTGAAGGAATGATTCAGTGAAAATAAATACAGTGAATATACTGTTTTTTCCTATATTTTATATTCATCTTGTCAAAAATCACTGAAAATAAATTCCATACAAAACACCCAGAAAGTATTTTCAGTAAAAATTAATTCCAGCGAAAACAAAGTATTTTACAGTGAGCTGGCTCTTGCCTAGGTTTGCCTTTTCATAAAAAATACAATTTTTTCTGTAAGTATCGCTGTCATAATTTTAATTTATTCTTTATTACTTAAATATATATACCGATATAAAAAATTCTCTGTACAATCTACATATTGATACATCTAGCTTAAGTCACACTCAATTGCAAAGTTGAATTTTAATTTAATTAAAATCAAAGCAGAGTTGATAAAATCTGTGGAAACAAATTCAACCATGATATGCACATGTGTTAACATGTTTATTCTGTCAGTAAGCACAAAAATAATAGATTTGTTCTGACCAGCGTGTGTATCATATTAAAATGTGCATGTGTTAACATGCATCGCACCTTTAGTTTTTTTTGAAATATTGAAAATAAAATTGAAAATCATTTTTTGAAAATCTCAGGACCAGAAACATATTTTTCAGGTTTAACTTAAACCCCCTTCCCCTCCCCTCATCACCAATTTCATTATTTTCACTGATAAGTAAAATTCACTTAATTAAATCCATATAAACTTAAAATCCAGTGAATAGCAAAAATAAATGGTTTTACAGTACATTTAAATTACATGTAAACTTTAACGTTGCTGATTTACCGGCAAAAAAAATGCTGAGAAATTTTCAATCTGCCCTTCAAATAAAATAAAGCAAAAATAATTTAATAATATGATTTAGATATGAAAAAACAACAACAAGTAACAAATGTGCAGAAGAGCGGACACAACGCAGACAACGATAACAACTGCTAAACACAAATTAATATGATGTATAATAGATAAAAACAAGTGGACTTACTACCATCTAAAAGCCGCTGGTACATTCTCTTCACTGATCTCATCTCCAAATCTCTGAGTATTGTACGACAGACAAAACAGGATACAGTCACAACAGTTGCTACAGGTTTCAACAAGTACAATATTATTTTGTTGTAATGCAAAAGTTAATTTTTATGTTTCTCAAAATGCATGCCAGTTTAAAATCACGGCTTTTGTGGATGGTAACAATTTCAGCAAAAAAAGAAAGAAAAGAAAAACTCATTTTTCATGAAGAATCCAAAAAATCCATTCGAATTAAGAAAAAGGCTGCAATTATAAATATAATTATTTTTATTCTCTCTCATTCAGAACTCATGGGTGGTAGGATTGGTGAACAAAATTTGCACACTGCATACAGAAAAAAAAGCATAAAAACTATCCACATTTTTATGTTGAAAATTTTAGACAATAACTTTAAAAATTGGAATGCATTACTGCTGTACTATTCCTAGTGTTACATTAAATAAATAAATAAATAAATAAATAAATAATTAAATAAATCAAGGAACACCATGCAGGAACAAACTTAAAAAGCAACATCATCCTGAAAAATCTAGCAAAAAAAAATAAGTGAAGGAAAAACTATTTTTTCACTTTTTCTGCACTTTCACAGTTTCCACTCCCACATGCAACAGGTTTTTTTTCCCCCCATACTCATACATTCATTTCTCTCATAATTATAGACACCATCTGGGATTGGTTGAATGGGTCATTACTAAAAGATGATGAAACAACAGATTAATTGTCAAGGCAACAACAATAGTGACCACCAATATGCCATTTTCTTCATCACGCATTTTTATGTGTTCTGCAACAGTTTTTTTTCTTCTTCATTTGTCCTAATTTTATTTGTTTATTGCCGTTTGTATTTGTTATTTCATAACTCCACTGTTGGTGATACATCGAATACAAATATGAGCTGATCATCACAGCTGGTGCGTTCCTGTGAACTGCGAGTACTCAAATCATCGCCGCATTGATTGGCGACAAACATTGCGAAAAAAATACGATGACATATATACTAATACCCTACTATGAGTAAATGTAGCTCAAAATAATAAATCTGTCTATATAAAATAAGAGTACTCAAGTTTTACGGTCTATAAAAGTCCGCAGAGAACAACAGTGATTGAAAAATGTCGAAAGGCAAATGTGTGTCCTTGCATGCAAGTCCACGTCAATCGAACCCGGCTGCGATCACATTCGCAAATTGAACTTGTTGAACCCCGCTATCTCCCGGCTGCTATCTTGGTAACTCTCAAGGCACTTACCTTGTAAAATATAATATGCGGCGGAGGTTCACTCATTTGTAACATCGGCAGCTTATAAGTTCCATTGCGGCCTTGAAAGTTAAAAACAAATTAAGCTTGTTTTTGACTCCGATTTATCTATGTATATGAAACAATCACGACACGATTACAACTGACAGTCTGCTCACTGTTCTTATCAGCGTTGATCAATGTGTTCGTGATTTCATTGAATGAACCCAGTATAGTAGAGTTGACAACTCGCTAGCGTGAAACAGTTGGATCGTTCGCTGTTTGATTTTTTTTTTAACGAGTTGCCGTGAAAAGCGCCGCCAGTGTCAACTATAACTTGTTTTTGTTACTGGTAACAGAGGGCGTTATTTGACAGAAACTACCCCAATCCAGAAGTTGGCAAAAAGTTAGCAAAAAGAGGTTCAATGGCAAATTTAAATTACAAATCTGCACAGAGGGAATTAACACGATTAGACATTGCAAAAAAGGAAGAAAGTGACTGATCAATGATTATCTTTCCAAAATTGCTTCATGTACAGATTTTTTTTATTACGGTAATAGATTAGCCTGTCCATGGTCGCATCATGAATGGATGAAAATGTAATTGTGCTTACTGTAAAATTTGAAAAGATGATAATTTATGTAAAACATGGATGTGACCCTCCCTGCTAGTCAAAATCTCAGTGTGTCAATTTGTAAATGCAAATGTAAGTGTGACCATGTGTAATTTCTATGCTAGCAAAACATAGTGGATACGTTGTTTTATGACTGATCAGTCTAATAGTTATTACGGTATATACATGTTGCGTTATGAAATAGTTCTACACTTAGCAATCAAAGAGCGCATGTGATGCGACCTAGAAAATAGTTTTGATTGTATTGTACCATACCCAGTGTTTATTCGTCACATTGATGAGTGACATATTATTTGTTCTAATTATTCTGTTAATTAAACTCAACTTTTCTGAGCGCATAAATTTGTCTATTCTCTATTGGCATCGAAACAAACGCAGTTTGAAATGACTTTAAAATTAGTGATTATATTACAAATTCACCTCCAAAACTGTAAAAATAGTGATGACTTCAAAAATAACTTGGGTAAACTATTAATAATTAGCATTCATGTACGGTAATCGGTTATGCAAATGAGCCAGAATGCTCCACAACCTTGAATACGCACTCACAAACTACAATTCCTTTGTTAGTTTTATCGTCAGAAAGATGAACAGGACATCAAATTCATGACCCTGCAATATCAGATTAAATAAATTTATGTAGAACCGGTAATTTTATTTTGTTCTTTGCCAAAGGCTTGAAACAAATGAAAACTATTACACGAGTACCTTACTTCCGCCGACCATAAGCCCCTCCCTGATTATAAGCCCACCCTTCTATATTTAGACATTTAACGAGTTGAGGGTGTTTCTACCTGGTGTCGACAACATTTATTAAAATATGCGTGTAAAAAGTTGTTTCATTGCATAAACATTAGATAATTCATGTGAATCTGATAATGTAAGATAATCCTGAGATAAATAAGTGTATAAAAAGACAAACAAAGACTCTGGTTTAAAATACATTTAATAGTCATGCTAAAATTGTGCTATAACATTTCTCGTACAAGTCTCAATAAAAAAAAAAATAAAAAAACTTTTATTTTCAATCCACCAATCATACTGTAAATAGTTGGGTTTTACACCCATATTTGGCAACTGTGTTAATATTGCTAATCCGGTTGAAAACAACTTTATAAATCCAGACTTGTTGAAGGTGGATAAACAAAAGTTGCTATATTTAAGGTAAATTTTGCTATTAACCAGTCTTGTATAAAAGTATAAATCAGCTTGGCAAGCACTTTTGTGAATCTGAAGTCAGTATGCAAATTAGCATCAGTATGCAAATTAGCATCAGTATGCAAATTACCATCAGTATACAAATTAGCATCAGTATGCAAATTACCATCAGTATACAAATTTCTCTGTTTCATGAATTAAGGGATTCATGAGGGTATGATATAAGTTTAATTATAATAATAATATTATTGGGGTCCTGGCACTAATATGTAAAATACAGTGGTCTGAATTTGTGCCTGCTGTGAAGATTCGCTTGTGGCTGCAATAATTTGGAACACTATTAAAAAGAATGCTAAGACATGATAATCTCAAGACCCTAATAAAGTTTTATGAATAGATTTCTGAGTGCAAATTTGAGAATCGAAAAAAGATGTTTCATGTACTATTAACAGAACCTACCTTTTTCTGTTAACCCAACAGAACCTACGTCTTCCTATTATTAGGCCAACAGAACCTACCTCTCCCTGTTAACCAATAAAAACCTACCTCACCCTGTTAACCTAACAAAACTTACCTCTCCCTTTCTGAAGATACTGTAACACATTAAATATTCACTGGGTTTTAATTCCACTACTTATGCTATCAAGTAAAATTCTCTAAATTAAATCCACGTTACAATAGAACTCATTTTGTCACTGGAATTTCTGTGAGTATGGTAAAAATTACATAACAATTTTCTCAACTTTTAGACAGACAAAACTTAAGACAAATTAACTATGATGAAGGAATTATCAGTAAAAACAGTGTTTACCAAAACAAATTCCATTTATTTCTCAGAGTTCTAACTAGGATCTACAAAAAAACTAGCTCTTCTAGAATTGAGTGAAAATTATTTAAACAGACATCTGTGACATCACACAATTATATTTGAATAAATTAGCATAAAATAGCATAAAACTAATATTTTCATATCATTGTATTGCAGCTGTATTTTAAGTCTTTTGCTAAATATAAAAAAAAATTGATTCTCTTGGCGAAACATGTTAATAGCATTCATCAACATTTTCGATTTCAAATTGTAGCGATTCGTAAGAAAATAGCGTAAAGAAATGCACAAAATACTGCAAAAATAATGTGGTTCATAATACTAAGAGAAACGGCTTTCAGCCAAACATAGGGAATCGAAGCAAACCCTGTCTATACTGACACCTCACTAATCTGAACACCTCTCTAAACAAAACAAACTCTTGGTACTGAAATAAAAACTGCATTCTCACTTTGCAAACTGTGAGGAACCATCATCTCCTGACAAATTTATATACCATCAAATGTTGAAACTGTGGATGAGAAGTGGGAAAATATCTGCAGAATAAGAAGTCAAGTGAGCCTCATAAATTAAAAATAAACATTGAGTTAGGGGGCTTTATTTTTCTTCAAAGGTTTGTTACATTATAGATAATTTATTTTGTATGGGGATAAAACCCTCTAGTAATCTCAAAATAAAATGGGTTAGAAAGTTATGACAGGGTATCTGCTTTTAATATATCATAATTTATAGCTAAATATCATTTGAACTCATTATGGAATTGTAATGAAATTGACATTTCACATATTTCTTAAACGGAAGTTTAAGACTGAAGTTTTCACTGAAACACTAGAGCGTACAAGTACATTATCTAGGAGCAAATCATACAAGCATCACATGCTGCAAACTATAGAGGGCAGTACAGTAGTAGTAGTAACCAATCAGAATACAATTCAATGAGCTTCACATGACACAAATCAGTGAGCGGAGTATCATTAAGTACACGATATAACACCTAGTTACTGACAATCAGTATGATTCACCCAAAATCAATAACAAAAAATATTATGACTGAAATGAATGCTAGGTAAGAAGTCTGGTCTTATTCATTGTCCAGTTATCTAATTAAAAAAAAAAAAAGTTTATTTTGTCACATAAACAATACATAGAAAGCATCTTACACAATATTTTTTGCAATACTGTAAAATACTTTATTTTAGTTGGAATTAATTTTCGCTGAAAAGGCTTTTTGGATGTTTTGTATGGAATTTATTTTCATTGATTTTTGACAAGTTGAATGTAAAATATAGGAAAAAAGTTATATTCGGTGGATGTTATTTTCACTGAATCATTCCTTAAGCGAAAATAGCAAAAATTAGTTACAAGAGTAAATAAAGTGCTTTACAGTATTTCGTTTATCATTAGACCATCCTGAAACACAATTTTGCAAGAGCGAACAAAATTTCTGTTTGTAATCATAATCATAATCTCCTTCAACCCTCCTTCCTTCCTTTAAACAAAAAGATTACATTTGCCAAATCGGTATATACTTCTAGGTTACGTGATGATAAAAACATGTGCTCTGTCTGAATATACATCGATATACTGTCTATGAATATACCTATGTACTACAAGTAAATGATGTCACTAGTGTTTATCATACAAGGGGTATCTATATATATATATCAAAAGGTAGTGTAAAGTGATGTATTGCCGGATATACTTTAAAATAGTGCCAATACATGATACTCTCATATACCCCAATGTAGAGCCAATATATATCCCCATGATATACATCCATGTTCCACAAGATTTAAATCTTTATCATTGCGGGATATTCTTTGACTGATTGTCACAGGGAAGGGCCTTACTTCGACCCCTGACCCCAGGCATCTAGATACAAAGTCAATTTTAGAGACCATGACTGTCTGTGACTACCATATATTTATAGAAAATACCATATTTGGAAACTATGATACTGGACACAATGCCCCTACTTTAAATTGAACCCTATGTAGTGTTAATATATTGCCCTAAGTAGTGCCAATATATACAACTCTATGTAGTGTCAATATATGGCCCTATGTAGTGTCGATATATGGCCCTATGTAGTATCAATATACAACCCTATGTAGTGTCAATATATTGCCCTATGTAGTGTCAATATACAACCCTATGTAGTGTCAATATATTGCCCTATGTAGTGTCAATATACAACCCTATGTAGTGTCAATATATGGCCCTATGTAGTGTCAATATAAAACCCTATGTAGTGTCAATATATTGCCCTATGTAGTGTCAATATACAACCCTATGTAGTGTCGATATATGGCCCTATGTAGTGTCAATATACAACCCTATGTAGTGTCAATATATGGCCCTATGTAGAGTCAATATACAACCCTATGCAGTATCAATATATGGCCCTATGTAGTGTCAATATACAACCCTATTTAGTATAAATATATGGCCCTATGTAGTGTCAATATACAACCCTATGTAGTGTCAATATATTGCCCTATGTAGTGTCAATATATTGCCCTACGTAGTGTCAATATATGGCCCTATGTAGTGTCAATATACAACCCTATGTAGTATCAATATATGGCCCTATGTAGTGTCAATATACAACCCTATGTAGTGTCAATATATTGCCCTATGTAGTGTCAATATACAACCCTATGTAGTATCAATATACAACCCTATGTAGTGTCAATATACAACCCTATGTAGTATCAATATACAACCCTATGTAGTGTCAATATATTGCCCTATGTAGTGTCAATATATGGCCCTATGTAGTGTCAATATACAACCCTATATATTCCTATGAGTGCCCAAGAAGTTTCTATATATACCCCTATGAAAGGCCAACATACTTTCATTTCCTAAGCTGCCTGTGACAAAATACCAATTATCTGTTAACATTACCATTGATCAGTAACAGTAATTAATGACAAACTTGATTGAAATATAAAATGTTACAAAATCAAAAATTTAAACTGAGCAGTGAATTTATCATAAATATTATTATTTATTATTAACTACTTTGTTAGATATTAATCAATAGCATATAAATGCAGATCATGATTCTGTTTAAATATTGCTTTTTGTATCTCAAAGTTTGGACTTCAAACTCAAATATCTTGACAAAAAAACAAGGCTGAAATTGTTTACATAAAAATACTGGTATATCTTAAAAAAATCCCAAAAACTAAATATTGTAATGTGTATTAAGTAGAACAGTTTGAATGAACAAGTAGTAATATTATTCATGGTAATACACTGGTTATACTCATGAATATTCATGAGAATGCATCAGCAGTCCCATGAATATTCCATGATCGAAACTAGTATGTCTCACCATTTCATGAATACATATAGCAGTTGTGTTCACATGATGAATATTCATGAAAATGTATCAGCTATGTTTACAAATGGTCCTAACATATCATGAATATTCATGAGAATGTATCAGCTGTATTCACAAATTGCCCAACATCTCATGAATATTCATGAGAATGTATCAGCTGTGTTCACAAATGGCCCAACATCTCATGAATATTCATGAGAATGTATCAGCTGTGTTCACAAATGGCCCCAACATCTCATGAATATTCATGAGAATGTATCAGCTGTGTTCACACATATCCCACCATCTCATGAATATTCATGAGAATGTATCAGCTGTGTTCACAAATGGTCCCAACATCTCATGAATATTCATGAGAATGTATCAGCTGGTGAATGTCAGTTTAATTAAGCATTTCATTAAAATTCTAATGTTTCACAATTAAATATCTGAATGCACAAAATCCGAATACAATAAAATTACAGTTCAACGCATTATTATAAAAGTGCAATTTACAAACAAAATAATTACAACATATAACAGCCAGTAAAATTCACAACATAAAACTATTTTAAAATCTATAATAATAAGAAAGACAAGAAATAGTGTTGATCAAATTAAATAGTTATGACTGTTACTTTTTATATTAGGAGAAAGACAAATTTTTTTTCATGCGGCGACTAAAGTTTTTAATTGATGATGTAAATAAACTGCCGTGACTATCGAGAACTCCAAAACCGAACCCCCTGATTACCACTTGTCTCTGATCAAATCACTTGACTGACAGCTTGTCACATGACTCATCTAGTCACATGACTGATAGCATGTCACGTCTCATCATCTCACATACCAGTTGTCACACTGTTTAGCAGTGACTGCTTCATATCAGTACACAATAAAATAGAGTCTGTGGTTAAGTCATGTGACTCTTCATGCACTTCTGATTGGCTGACTGATTGTAACTGGCTGGTCAGAATATGGACCAGCCATATTTCTATTGTCCAAGTAATGAATAAATTGTTTATTTATTTATTTTTTTTATATTAAGTTTTTTGTGTACCTTAAGTAGCAGTGGTCAATACATTCTAGTTTAAAAACTCTCTTTGGAGCATTGGATTTATGCACAAAATATGCAAATGTGCTTTGAAAATTACTTAAAAACAAAAGTATAAAATAATTAATCAATTAACTATCAATTAAAAATTAGTCGCCTGTCATCTACAAGAAGACAGAAAACTGAAGAAGAAAGTTTTACTTCTATGTCAAGAATAAGAAGAAAAAAAATAAAATCATAGAAATGTAATGCACCTGGAACACCACACACTCAGAAATGTGTCTGTTGAGGAGATTCTGGTGGCCTCCCCTCTAGATAGTAAAAGAATACGCCAACTTGCGACATGACGTCTGTAAACGAAGTAGCTTCAAGAATAAGCGATGCATTTATTCCGATCTCTTCATCAGGTTTCCTCACAGCTGGGCGCATAAGATTGGGACCAAACACAGTTGCCAGATTATGAAGACTCATCTTGTTTTCTGATTGGTGTTCGGACAACCTAGAAATACAAAGTAGCATTATGAAAAACTGACAATGAAACAATAACAACACTGTACAAGATCTTACTCTCGTGGGACATTCTCTGATTGACTGTCCCAGTGTGGGTCATTATATAGATAATGCCCTGCTTTTTTGGGTTCGAACTCGCAACTCCAATCTCAAAGGCCAACATTTTGTCCTTTGATCTACCAGGAATTCAATATCAATGGACATTTTTCAAACCTTGTCACATTCAAGTCATAAATAATCATAAGATAATTATGCAGGATAACATTGTCCACCTGCAATATCTTCAGTATGTAAAATGTTATTTTTTTGTACCGATAAGTATTGTATTAAAGTCAGATGCACTCTTGTCATGCATTCATTCGCATATTAAACCTCCACTCAGGCCTGTGTCCCTTGTGTCGATGAATATGTAACAAATACACTACACTCATGCATATCACAAGTAAGACAAGCTAATCATATGCAAATGAGCTACTTAATATGCACAGAATTGCAATTAAACAGCATTTGCTTTTGAATTTGTCTTTTATAAATATGAATGTTTTTTTGTTTTTTTCTTGTGGTGAAAGAAGACGGAAGGAACGGACAATCTGCATCACAACAAAAGTTTATAACTCACCTTCGTAAATGGTTTATCAGATGCAACACAGTACTGAGATTGGGTTCCGGTAATGAATATAATAATGACATCATGCACTTCTCTCGTGCACTCGGGTCTGATAGAGCTACAGAAAATAAAAACATTTTGTTTAAAAAGCAGACCTAGCCATATCATGTACGCAAAAAACTGTGACATTCGAAATTTTGTCATGTTTCGTAAAATAACGCTACATAATTACTTTTGTATATATTTTGGAAACTTGTGATCAAGATCTGTAGCAAATGTTCATTTCGTCAAAAATTGGCAAAGAAATGATTGAAAATACATCAAATAGGACAAGATTTTTCACTCTGAACCATTCAGGATGCAACATAACGTGGAACAAGTTCAAGCTACAGCCTTCGTGCAGCAAGTGCTCAAATTTAGAATTTTATGTGCATTGTATATGTCACATGAGACCAATATCGAGCAAAACACTGCGTGGCAAATACGACACGCAATTGTTATTCACACTTACCAAGTCCTTCTACAAAATTGTTATAAAGATTATCGGTAAATAACGGCTCTGGCAATTCACGAAAATATAACTTTGCAACGCATGCAACAGCATGAATGTCTGCTTCACCAACCAATGTGCGAACACTCTTGCTACCTAGACAACACAAAAGAAAAACATTATGAATATATAATATATGCACATTGTAATTGGAGCCAAAACTACTTCTTGTTTTTGTTTGATGTTCAATCACGAAATGCACACAGGAGAAATAAGCGACACAGCGCCAAAGCGGACATCTCATGCTAATCTGCACAGATCAGCAGCTTAAATTATCTTCAGTTGTGTAGAAATGGCAGCAGGTTATGTTTTATCC